CACCATCTCTCCTATCAGTTGTCAATAATATTAGGGGCTGCAATTTCACTTGGAGAAGTCCCGTATCTGTCTATTCTCTCTCTCCCTGCCCGTGTTTCACCGTTCTCTCCCTTCGGTTGCCAGAGGGATGGAAAACACGTAGCGGGAGAGAAGTTGGGAAGCAGGAAGAGCCCCGAGAAGCATCGATTATTTTCGCGCGAGTGGAAGCACACCGGAGGAGTAAAGAGGGTTTCTTTGTTCGATTCGACGTCGTCGTCGGATGTGTCGCGGTCGTCGGGCGACAGTGGGTCACTTGCATCGAGATGAAAGGACCCAGGGTTCTCCCTGGGGAGAAAGGGGAAGAACCGATGGGGGACGAAGCGTTTTCCAGGAACGTCTTATTGTGCGTGTTTGGGGAAGGGGAATGGGGATAATACGGTATTAATTAATACCGTGGCAAGGAGGATTCCGGGCGAATTTCGAGCTCTTTGTTCGGGGGGATGAAACGCCAGTTCGACGACTGATATGTTCTTATTCCTTGGTTAAACCTTGGAGATGTATTGTAAGCTTCTTCGAAAACGTAAGATTCTTAAAACTGCGGAAAGAGGATTCGAGAAGCATCGATCTTTTTATTCCTCGAAATAATTCGCCGTTCGTTAAATCCTGTGAATGTCGCATCGTTGTGTACGGGCTTGAAGCTACAAAGCCATGGAAGAAGAAAGAAGAAAATGTTTTCTATTTGCTAAGCTGCTTGAATCTCCGGTGAAACTAGGGAAACGTTCGGTCCTGCTCGTCGATAAAGAATCTCCATCGATTATTTTCACGCGTGAGAGGTCGCGACATCGAGGAAAGAGCTTTCTTTCCTCCTGTGTAACGCTGACAGTGGGTCAGTCAGACTGATACACAAGATCTCTCCTTGTTCTTCTTGCTCCTCTCCCCTCTGACGACGACCGAGGGAAAAACGAAAAAGTTTTCAGAGGTTGGAATGGGCGAAGGGAGGAACGAAGTTGCTCTCGGTTATCGCGTCTTCTCCAGCCTCCTTCTTCTCTTCTCTGCTCCTTTTTCCGGTCCAGGAGACACGCGCCAGCGACGCATCCTTTGTCCCCGTGCTCGTAAATCCCTCGAACCAAACCGACTCTACCCGCTCGAGGACGCTCGCGGAGAACCCAGTGGTACACGCGTTAACCGCTCGCTACGATCTTCTCCACCCACTCGTTTCTTTCTGTATTTACGAGGACGCCCGGTAAATTGCCATCGAGCACAGGACGAGGTTTTTTCGAGATTTTCGTGCGGTGAAGACACCCACCGCCATACACTTTCTTTGTTTTAATAACTTCTTTTTGTGTAGCCACTCTGTCGATGCTTGGACACCGTTTCACGTTCTCGGAAGGTGGACAGATATCGTCTGGTGTCACGTGAAAGTTTCGGGTCACTTAAGAGATCCGTGGAGAAACTTCTGTCTATAAAGATAGTACGATTCTTTGACAGTAGAACTACCAGCCGAGTCAAATGTCCCAAATTTTGCAATCTCCTTATTTTCCAACTTCCAATTTTACTTTTTCCAAGAGTACCTTTTTATGTGAGTAAACCGTGATTGGAAAATTAGATCCGTACCGATACAGATAGAATGGGTCACTTTTGACCCGGTCGGTAGTTCTAGTGTTGAGGAACCAGTGAAAATATGAAACACAGCAATCGTCGAAGAGATTTCGTCGGCTCGTATCCTGCAACGATTTGCCGTTGCATCGAACAGGCATGTCGAGTCCAACGAGAGAAAGAGGATCCTGCGAGCTATTATAACAGAGGATTAGGGTGGAAAGGATCTGACGAAGTGTCCCGCTTCGTCGAGTTTCTATGCTTCGACCATTTTCTGCCTCTTTCCTCCATCGAAGATTCCAAGTTCCGTGGCACAGTTACAAGAGGCCGAAGTAACAGTTAAACACACGGACGGAGTTTCGAAGAGTGTGGAATAGGAAATGGAAGATTAAGACGGCGGATTTTCCTCTCCGTGCCGTGGAATAGTTAGAGCGGCTCCCGGCGGAGGGACAAAAGCGGAAGCAAAACCGAGGCCGATCGTAACGAATTTTATGCTCTTCTATATAACCGAGCTTTATCGTCCCGGGACCTATGGCCGCTCTACTGCGCCGTTAAGGTCTAAATAAGAGCGTCCTTGCAGGAGAGTCTCGACAAATCCCTCGGTGGCACGTTTTACTTTCCACCGTTTCCCTTTTCTTCTTTTTCGAAATTGCTTCCCCGCACCTTTCTTCACTGGATGCTTAAAAAACAGCGAACCTTCGAGCAGAGTTTTTTGCAAATTGCATCCCCCTCTTTGGACATAAAAAAAAGAGAGAGAAAACCGAGAAGAATTCTCAATAATTCTTTACGTCTTCGAAGGGATCGTTGGAAAATTGCTTTTCCCTCTTAGATCATAAAAAAAGCGATAAATACTTTCAGCAATATTTTACACGATCCTCTAGGAAAAATTGTCATACGTGGAAAGCTTCGAGAAACTATTACTTCTTGCGTCCATTGTTCTTGTTTGGAGTAGAGTTAGCTGTTGCATCGAGATCTGGTATTCTTCTCGCGTCAAAAACACCTTCGAGAGACGAAGAAGAGCGAGGTTTTGTCGTGGAAGGGAGAGAAGCTCGAAGGGAATATCGTATTTATCGAACTCCTGTCCCTGCTGCTTTACTACGTTATAAAGTTTACACAAAAGCACGGAAAGCTCCGACCGTTTACGAGTTCGTCGACCTTCTTCTTTTCGTTCCCGCTCGTTTCCTCCGCTTTATTATTTCGGGTCGTCGAGCGGCGACCGCGCGCGCGTGTGCTCTCGCGCCTTATTTTTATATTTATTTGTACCGGCCGCCTCTGTGTCCCCCTTCTCTCCAGGTATTATTGAATTCCGATAATCCGCGACGCCGGCATCGTAATCCTCCTCCTGCCACCCCTTTCGACGATACTCCGCGATTTATGCCCTCTACGCTTCCTTCACTTTCCTTCTCTCCACCCTTGGCCTTTTAGCCACGCCGGCGAAATTATCCGCAGGGGCGGTGACCTTCGAGCTCTGACTCGCTTCCGGTGGGCGACGGTGAAAAATCGCTTTCCCTCGTTTCTTCGTGTTCGGGTGGAATTTTTGCTCGAATACTCGGCGACTTGCCTCCGGAAGTCACCGATGAGAAATCGTTTTCACTCCTTTCTTCTGATCGTGATGGAATCTTTGGTTTGGTCTGGGCTTGGGTTCTCCGGAAATCGCTGGTGAAAAATTGCTGGTGCTCGTTTCTTTCGATTTTGGGAGAATTTTGAGTCGATGTCTGCTTGGGTTCTCCGGAAATCGCCGGTGAAAAATTGCTTCTGCTCCTTTCTCGCTTGCAAAATTTTAGATATTTCTGTAGAACTAATATCATCGATTGAAATAAAAAGTGCCCCTTCCAGAGAAATTTCAAAAATTAACCGAGTAAACCTCCTGAATCCTGGCCAGACGTATCGACATCGCAACCTTATCGAAAGGACCACTAGCGCGTCTGTATCTGCTCTCGTGAAAAAAGAGGTTCGATGAGAACGTGTGCAGGCACTCGGCGAGGCAAGAATACCGCTCGAGGAGGGACAGAACGAGGTGAAGGATCCGCGAAGAAGGCTCTCGAGCAAGGTGAAAGAAACATAAAGGGATTCGAAGCGAAGGAACCACACGTCCATCCAGCTGACCCTCGAGAAGCAAGAGAAGAGAGGCCTCGTCGTGTTTCATCGGCTCGAATAAATAAATTGGATTGGTCTGGCAACTTTTCCAGCCATTCTTACCGTACTGCAACTGGAAACCGATCGCGCGCGGCAGAGAAGCACTTCAACTTTTTACGAGTTCGATTAGAGGCTCGAAGAAAGAGAGAGAGAGAGAGAGAGAGAGAAAATTGGTTGAAGAGAGGCATTGTCCTCTTTTTTACTGCCTTCCATCCCTTTCGATCGTTTGCACGGAGACAATTTCCTGAGATACGCAATTAATGTCCCTGGACTGGTTTTTAATCGAGCCTCCTACCTTTATGAGCTCTGGCTCCAGGGACAAACCCGACGTTTTAGCCAGGGAACGAACACCGAAATTGGGCTGCTGGTCCAGGAAAGGAACCTGTTATTTCTCTCTTCTGACGCTGGAAACTAACGAACCAAGCGTTTAAGAAACGAACGATCTATTTTTATTACAGAACGACGAATTTGTGTAGTCTGTCGGTGAAGATGATGGAAAATGAACGGGGAGCACAGGGTACACACGAACTGCAAATAGATTTTTAATCAGGGGGATCGAAGGGTGCCGGCTCTCGACACTGCAGGAATTCCTAAGGAGCCGTAATGGCGGCTCAGGGGAATCAAGTTTTCGGAGATAAGGATCTGGGGAGTGTAATAAGGGATCTTTGAAAGGACGTGGTGATCCCATCGTCCTTCCTCAGGATCTAAAGGATCTAATAGCGAACTTGGTAGACTGGAGTCTTAAGATATCAGGCTGATCTCAATTTGGGAATAATCTAGGAATAGGAAACCGTGTTCAGCTTATCTCCTCGATAATTTCCAACGATCCTACTCTCCGTCTACCCTCTCCAACGGATTAAACGTCTATTTTTTCTTCTTTTTCACTTCTATATTTATCGATATTACAAACGTCTGTGTGCCTAGACCCTAACCTCCCTATACCCACTAGTCTCTTGTTACTCGAGTCGTTGCTACACCTTGCCAATCCCTGTCTTCTCATTTCCTGTCCGACTACTTCTTCCTTTTCTCTCTTCTCCCCTCTTTGCCATTAAGGACGTGACATTTCGAGCGTTCCCCAGCCAGTCTCCTTTTCCTATCAAAGGTCTTCGCCTCTTCGAGGCATCCTTTCGCATATAGACTTGGTTTTATATCGTGTGGAAGTGTTAGTAAAATCCGCGCGGACAGTTTTTCAGTGTAAATTTTCGAGATTTTACGGGTGTGGTTAATGTTCGCGTAAATTGTAGTGGAAGGTCGGAGATTCAATTGGGATTTGCCTTGTGATGTTACAGATGGAGGACGAAGGTAACCATGGGAACGACGATACGAGATGCTTCATCCTGTCGACGCTGGCCACTCTACAGTGGTCCAGGGTGTCCTGCGTGCTATGCCGCACGCCTATGCTCGTGTTCGACAGGTATCCCCTGGTGGACGGCACGTTCTTCTTGTCTCCGAGGCAGCATTCGCCCGCCTGCGCTGAGGTAACTTGAAATTTTCTGTCTTGGGGTAGATTTGATTTGGACGTTTATTTGGAAGTGAGTTGAGAGGAGGATGTATCTGAGAGATTTTCTTGATTGCTCTCGAGAGTACTCGGAAATTATGCGTGCAGCTCTCCGGCACTCTCGGCACTGTGCAAGTGCAGTGATAAATTTGACTCTCGAGAGCAACTCGCGAGATTTTCACTTTCCCATGGAGACATAGATACCAATTTGAGAATTTTTCAAGATAGTTACTCTCGAGAGTCCTCTCAAATTGAGTGCAGCTCTCCGCCACTCTCAGTACTGTGCAAGTCCAGAGATGAATTTGACTCTCGAGAGTAACTCGCGATATTTTCACTTTCCCATGGAGACGTAGATACCTATCTGAGAATTTTTCACCATAGTTACTCTCGAGAGTACTCTCAAATTACGCGTGCAGCTCTCTCTCCGCCACTGTAAGTCGATTACACAGTGGAATTAATCAGTGGTTAAATTTGACTCTCGAGAGCAACTCGCGATAGTTTAACTTTCCAGTGGAGACGTAGATACGAATCTGAAAATTTTTTACCATAGTTACACTCGATAGTACTCTCAAATTATGCGTGCAGCTCTCCGCCACTCTCAGTACTATGTAAATCTACCGATAAATTTAACTCTCGAGAGCAACTCGCGACAGTTTCACTTTCCAGGGAAAACGTAGATACCTATCTGAGAAATTTTGACGACAGTTACTCTCAAGAATACTCTGAAATTGTATTCAGCTTTTCGAGAGCAACTCGCGATAGTTCCACTTACTTCAGAAAAATCGCGAATTTTTACTAAGCATTAAATTCCCCTGAATAAATAAAAGTGTGTAACTGGAAGAAAATCGATCCCGGTGAATACGAAATGCCAGTCACGTCGCTTGAAGGTAGAGTGCAAAAAGAGAAAGAGAAGAGAACCGTGAACCCGAGGATAAATCTGAATCGATATCTGGACACGGTGGTTGTTCCAGGTGAAGGTCGAGGGTCGCACGCAATTCTTGTCGGCGGTGTGCATGAGTTGCCTGGAAGGCAGCGGTGGTCAGCCTGTGCGTTGTCGTTGCTGTACCAAGCCGTGGGACGGGTCTAGCTTAGTCCTTGGAACGATGTACAGCTACGATATCTTTGCTGCCATGCCCTGTTGCACCGAACGACTCAAGGTAGTATGCTCCTTCAATCTTCTACGGTGTGAGAAAATCTTGCTCCGTAGCTCGACATTTTTACCAGTGAACATCATTCTTTAAACACTTACAGCCAAGTTCCTGCAAGACAAATCTTAAAAATTCTTTATACAAGTTCAGTACCAATTTCTGAAGTGTACTCGACATCCCCTATTCCAAAAATACTCATCCGTTTGGACAGATTGGTACATTTAACCCCCTTTTACTGAAGATTACTGAAAAGTATAGCTCTGACTCTGTGTTCAAATTTTTACTCTTCTACAATCTGAGGAACTCTCGTGGTTCCAATCTTCTTCTTCAAGTGTTCAACATTTTTACGAATGAACACCAATGTTTAAACATTTATAGCCAAGTTTCTTCAAGACATAAATTTTAAAAGTACTTTGTGCAAGTGTAGCATGAATTTATGAAGCATACTCATTCCCAAAACACTCGTCCATTGATCAAATTGGTACATTTAACTCTCTTTTAATGAAGATTACTGAAAAGTAAAGCTCTGACTCTGTATATTCAAATTTTCACTCTTCTGCAATGTGAGAAGCTCTTCTACTTCAAGTGTTCAACATTTCCCCGAGTTTCTCTAGGACACAAGCAATTTTTGAAGCATACCTAACATCCCCTATTCTCAGAATCCCATCTATTGATCAAATTAACCCTCTGTGGGCCGAATATTTTTCTTGACTGTAAAAGAGTTTATGTAACGTAAAATTAGCAAATATATAGAAGAATAACAGTGAATTCAGCAGTTTCGACAATTTTATCATAACGAATACATATTGTAACTTTGAAGTAACAACGAGACGTTTATGCCATTTTGTGGAAGAAAGTTCAATTATTTAAGAAAATATCGATATATTAGCATGTGACCCTCTCTAGCAATTATAGCTATGTCTATATAACAAAATCCCTGTCTTCCGTCCACTGATAGCAGTCAAAGGGTTAAACACTACCATCCTTACTGTTCTTTCACCACGTTCCATACCAAATTACAAACAACACACATCCACGCGACCCATTACCCTCACCTAAACTTCCATTTCCAACCCCTGTCGCGTACACTCTCCACTCCACGCAGCAATCCAACCCCTTAGAACGAACGTATACAACGAAGAAAAAAATCCCGCTCTGTCTGTTACAGTGCAACAGCTGCCAGAAGCCGCTGATCTATCCTCACCAGCGGCTCAACTTCTACTCGGACTACAGTCGCGTGTTCGCCTGTCCGCATTGCCGGGCGGTGGACGCCCACTTCGTGAAGCCTCTGTCTATCTGCTTCACCCGCGAGCAGTTTCAGCTTTACAGCCAGTGGCCGTAACCATTAGGGAACTTAGCTAACAGACGGCGTCTAAGCAACGCGACTGACCCGTGTCCCCTCTCCTTCGATCCACTGATCTCCCTGCTCCGGGCGACCTTGCTCTAGATCCTTCGACATCTTACAGAACGATTATCATTAACCAAGAAAAAAAGAAGATACGAAGGAGAAGAAGACAGAAAAAAAGGAAGAAAAAATCGCGTGAAAATTTCTTTTTTTTCGAGCTTGACACTTCCCCTTCTTACGAGCACCACTATTTTTTTCACTCTTCATTAACTCAGGAACAAATATGTTCTTTTTCTGTTTTTTTTTTTTTTTCTCTTCCAGACGGTTAAGTTTTAGTTCCGAGACGCGTTCTTCGACTTGCGAAGATAGAGGACGAGAAGCTTTCACGTCGAGATTATCCTTTTGTTTTACCCGTTCGTGTATCTTCTATGGTTAAAGAACGAGCGTGTGTTCGGCGTCGAAGAACCGTCTCGTTTTGTTGTTTCTGTTTGGTGCATCGGTAGAAGAATTGTCGTTACCTAGGTGTGTCCAAGCATTCGATTTATTCCTGAGAGTGGGGGGAAGAAAGCGGAAGTGTCACGTTCACTCGGCGAGCTCCCGAGTAGCAGCGACGATAACAGTTTCGAAGGTTTTTCTTTTCTTTTCTTTTTTTTTTTTTTTCTCTTTCGACGTCGATAGCGTTTGTAGGGTTTATCCAGGTTAATTCTAGAACACTCGAGGGACGTGGATGATCCCATCGATCAGTTTCTGGATGGAGATCGACGTGGTATCGACGCGTGTCCCTCTGTCCCGTGTGTAACCGTTCGTTCGGCAGAGCTTAGAGACACCCGTGGCGGCAAATTCGAGCCAAGGACTAATTCGTCAGTATTATCGGTAAGGAAAACAAACGAAAAGAAAAAAAAAAACAATTCCCAAGGACTGCTGTGTCGTCTGTGTGAAATTCTTTTTTTTTTTTTGTTCTCAAAGTTTAACGAACGTTCGTTATATTTTTCTTTTCTGTTCTCGACGAGGATATTCTGTAATTCATGAATGATTTCGTGTTTAATTTGTAATTTAGTGGAATTGTAGGAAGAATATTCGAGTCGGAGTTTTTTTTTTTCGATAGATTAGGCGTTTGTAAATTACAATCGTGTGTTAGCTTAAGGGAAATTCGTGAAGTTAGGTTTAGAAGAAGAGGGAAGAGGAAAAAGTTGATCGTGGACAGCGTCGATACCTAACGTCGATCGAAAGAAAATACTAACGATCGTCCCTCGACGCCACAATAGTCGAATTGCGTTAATACGTTTTTTTTTTTTTTTTTTTTTTTTTTTTGGGGAAAAATTTTATT